ACGTTGATGGAAATCAATATTTCGGTGACCTCTGAAGGTCGAGTCACCATACAGCATTCCTCTGATGACCTACGACCTCTGACCGAATGATCCAGCGGTACGGATCAAAGGATGCCGCTGTAGAAGATAAGCAGAAAACAGCACGGGAAACAACCAGTTGTTGAAAGAGGCATCGCACCTCAATATGCAGATGCACCACTTGGGAGGAATTCGTTCATGTCAAACGTAGCACATGGCGGTCATTCGCCACTCAGGCCGCTTTCGTCAGTCGCCTGCTTGATGTCCTGCAACGTGCAAGATGTCAACCAGTTTGTGAGGCTGGCGGCTACATACAACTGCAGGACGGAAGTATGGAGCGTTCTTTCCTGGAGAGCCCTCAATCGAACTACAGAATGATTACAAGTCTATTAATTTCGAATAAGAGGACTTTCTTCCTGCCAAAGGAAATGAATTTCTACCTGTCTAATTTTCTTTCTGTATAAACTGTAGCAACATAACGATCAAAGTATGAATCTATAAAAGTTAAATGAAATTACCGACGGCTATGAATAACAATAACCCGGATGGCGTGATGGAATTCCGGAGTAGAAGATGAGACTGAGTAAAAAATCGATTATTAAAGAAAATATGATAACTGATATTGATTTCGATTAGTTTTAACGAACAGTGATCTCTGCAGTGAGTGTTGATAACGAGAAGAGACGCAAACTATGTTTGGAATAAAGTCAAACGAAAAAGCGACGGAATCGAAGATGTGTTATGTTCAGAGGAGGTTGACTAATTTTATATGAGGTGGTGTGATGCTTACAGAAGCAGTCGATGACCAAAGCCCGCAGCGTGTGTCAAAACTCTTCAAAGGGAGGAATACGGCGCCTTCGACCATGAGGGGAAAAACTCTCTGCTATTGTGAAGCATGCAATTTACAATCTGCACAGAACTGATGCCAATTATGCAAAGATCTTGAACCATGGCAACGTCACTTCTGGGCTATAATACGTGAATTCGCTTTAATTAAAGCACTTTAATAGCCGACGTCAACAATATATTAAACTCTAGATCTTTAACCTAGCCGAAATCTAATATTCACTCATTTGAGTTTTACTATCTGACCTTCAAAACAACGGATGAACGGTCATTCGGACTGACAAATGATTCCAAATAGTATGGAAAATTTTCATAGTCAACTATAGAACTTCTACACTGAAGAAGTATGACATGCAATGAAGCAGGCGGAGCTACGAAAAGCCTACGACGAATACGGCGTTACAGTGGAATGGCTGAAATCAGGAGGTGAAGAGCTGTTCATCGTGACATCAGTGCACTTGTTTAAAGTAACTGAAAATTCTAGACCATTGGAAAACCGCATCAGTGAATCCAATCGACAAATGGAAGAGACAGGGAACTTCTGAAGATCTGCAGCCGATCATTTTGTTGAAATCATCTGCAAGATCTTCATGAAAATACTAAGGAACAAGTTTCAAGAAAAGATTAACTTTGCAGGGATAAAGGAGCAGGGAGAATTCAGAATTAATTTCAGCAAGAAGAATTATCTTCAGGTGGTACCACAGGTGATTTACGCGAACAACGAACATCAGTTTTGCTAATGCTTGGATTTCACTGATTTCGAGATGTCTTTCGGCTCAGTTTACACGCAGCCAATATTGGATCCCTTGACGAGTTTTGTAATCAAGGAGAGCAACTGATACCTCATCGTCATGATTTTCAAAACTGCAACTGATTTGGCACAAGGAAGTTCAAAATCGAGAAGGACGGTTGACAGGGTGATGAGGTATTGCCAGAGTTATGCACAACAGTCCTAGAGGAAAATTTGAAAACTTTCCTTTGAGAAAATCAGCGGCTGAAGAAAAACTGGTAAATGCACGCTGCTTAAACGGTCTGCCGACGACACTCTGATGTATTCGGTGTCACCAAAACTCAAAAGAAGAATCGACGTGCAGAACGATACCAGGGCAGAAAATTTTTCAGATGAAAACTCAGGTCATATTTAATAAAGTCTCTCATCCCCCAGGACGTGTTAAAGTTCGACTTGAATAAGTGAAAAACGACTTTTTTGTGGAACAGTTCATCTTTAAAACGGATGATCGTCTCGGCTAAATCAACAGAAGAGTAAAATTGGCAAAGAGTACTTCTGGAAGATTTATAATGTTCTTAAATTGGTGTTTGAAACGGGCTGTTTTACATCAG